ATGGAAAGAGCTCTGAACTTGATCTGAAAATCCTGGGTTCTCCAACTGGTGGGGAGATTTACCTTCAGCAAATCTCTTTGCTCCTCTGAGCCTCAGCTTCATCTGTTCAATGTGAACAATGACATCTGCTCTGCCCCACCTCCTAGGATTATTATGAGAACCAAATAAAATGGTGGCTTGGAAAGCTCCTTGTATGTTGTAAGGTGCTACAGGGTTAGGGTAGATACACAGTCAGCTATGAATCCTCCATCACCTTCACGAGACATGAACATTGCCAGGCTTATCAGTGTGCGTTGGCTGACCTCTTCCTTTCTCCTTACTAGGATCACTGCTTTTACCATGGCACGGTGAGGAAGGCGGAACAGTCCAGCGTCACACTCAGTGCATGCCGGGGAATTAGGTAAGAGCCCCTGAAGCTGCAGGGGGGCAGGTCACATTCTCCCCAGGAATGGAATTTTCAAGGCAAGTAGGGCTAGCCTAAGGCGAGGACCTTGGAATGGAGCCTATTGAGAGAGTGTGCAAGCCAGCGCTGAGAAGGGCCGAGCCTGGGAGGGAAAGGACTAGGGAAATCCTGGATGGTCCACAAATTCACTGGGCTTGAGCTTAACTTTCCTGAAGAACTTGATGTTTTAAAGTATAAGTTTTATTTTTATTTAGGTATGGTAAGGCAAGCACAGGAGATGACTGCCATTGAACAGATGGTTATACTCACAGAAAGAGGAGGGGCATGCTATGCATGGGGGGTGGGAAAGGGGGGGCACACGGGAAAGCACTGGGGGTGGTTAGGAGGAGAAATGTGAGTAAGAGTCTTTATTGTGGTTTCTGCAGGAAAGAAGATTGTTAGGAGCTTTGTTAATTGTACAGCACTCTACAAACATACAGGATTTGTATTGTCTTATAATAGTGAAATCATGCTAAGATTTACTCAGGCTTCCATGCAAATCGAAGGTCCCTCATGCTTCAGGTCCCAAGTGTCTGTTTATAAATTGAGCCATGTCTCCTCTGTAAGGCCAGAGGGAATTAGGCAGGAAACAGGCTTTGGCTAGGAGGTGATAACAGAGTTTGATGCATCCCCCACTCAAGTGACCTGATTGAGCCAAGCTAACTGGCCTCACAGTGGTGTTTACAGGCCTAGCCAGTGCCACCTGCAGGGCTAGGAGGTGATAACAGAGTTTGATGCATCCCCCACTCAAGTGACCTGATTGAGCCAAGCCAACTGGCCTCACAGTGGTGTTTACAGGCCTAGCCAGTGCCACCTGCACTCTGCAAGTAAACAAAGCCTGTCCCCAGAAGGAGGAAAGGAAACATGCAGGTGTGACCTGCTTCTCTCTGCCTCTTGCTCCATCCCCTCTGTCTGGAGCAGTGGGAACTTGGCTTGGCCTCTTGTAAATCATTCCAGCAGCCGTGCTGACAGGGGGAAACCGGGTGAGCAGTCCATGTGTTTCTGTTTTACATGCTTCCGTCTGCTGGGGTCCAGCTGCCTTATTTTCCCAGCCTTCTCACTGTGCACCTTGAGAAAGCAAGGCTGTGGGTCGGACCGATATAAGAGCTGGAGACTCTTGCCAGATGGCTGCATTTGTACTCTGGAGAAGGAGCAGCTGCAGCAGTGGTGGTGTTCAAACCCATGGTTCAAACTCAAGTCTCCCCTCAAGGCTCACAAAGCGATGCTGCAATGGAAAATCTCCATAGTGATTGTTCTTCTCTCCTGGAAACATGCGCCTTGTGATTGGAGAAGATGGTAGGGTTTATACCAGGTGGACCTTCAGGCCGATGTTACATGGACAGAGGCATTCAGCTGAGCTCCTAGATAGTTGCTGGGACCCCTCTTCTCTCCAAAGCAGTTACTTTAATTGAAGAAGTAATACACAGTCATAGTAAAAAATAAATTCAAATAGTACAAAAGGTGTACAATGTAAGAGAGGTCTCTTTCTCACTCCAGATTTCTAGATATCCCCCCTTTTCAGAGGCAGCCATTGTTACACAGATTCTTGTGTATTCTTTTAGAAATATTCTTTTCAAAAACGAACATAGATATGTAATATAATGCTTTGCAATCTTATTTGGACCCCTAACTCCTTTAAGAATTGGGTGGAAGCTATCTATAGATTCTTATAAACTATACCAATAAAAAGATGTGGTATATCATATCTTATGGTCAGGTGTCTGTACCCCACAAGCCTGTCTCAGATTAAGTACCCATTCTCCATATGTTTACACAGCTTCTTGAATACATGAATGCTTTGCAAACTAACACATTATATATGTACAGAGTGATTTTGTGAGGAAATCTAGACAGTATTGGGTGAGGTGTCTTTCACTGAGCCTGTGTTTTCTGGGAGACACGAGGGGTATCTGTGTGTGTTCCCTGCTCACTATCAGCAGGAGGGGTACTTGACTGGTAAGTTTTCTATTTTTAAAGAAAATGCTTATTAAAAATTATTGTATATAACTAATACAAGTTTAGTGTTAAACATTGAAATCATACAGGAGTGTATAAACTAAAAAAAGTGGAAGTTCTTTATCCTGTCCTACTTTCTGACCAATCCCATCCCCCTTCTGTAATTTGCTGGGGGTATACATAATTGAAATACATAATTGCATATACATATATATGTACAAATATATATATACACAAATGAGACTACCCTATACATATAATTCTATAATTTTTTTCCAACTTAACATTTTGTCTTGGTGCACATAGGTCTAACTGATTCTTTTAATTTTTGCATAGTATCTTATGTACTAATGTCTGGCAAATTTAATTATATAGAAAGTCTTTCAAAGGTATACAATAAATCATTCATAATGATCTATTTGATGGATCACCATTATATTATAGCAGCTCTGTCCTCAGAAATGTGGGGCTCACACTCACTGTGATTATACCTTAACCTTGGTC